GTCCTAGCAGACCCTGCTAAGTCGGTTACGTGAAGTAAGAAAGAGAAAAAGTAAACCCAGAAGGCAAAAGAGAAAGTGGTAAGAGCTAAGCAAGTGGAATCCGAAGATAGTTGAGTCAATAAAAAGGAACTGAAAAGTGAAGGTGAGTCAGCTAGGAAGAAAGGAAAGGTTTGCTGTTGCCACCCAAGAGGCATCGGAGCTGGCGCGCAAAACCTTAACAGTAGGTTCCCTAACCACATAATCTGGAGAGAATTCCAGCGATCTATAACTCGGCGCGATAGACGAGTTTCCGTCCAAATCCTATCAGACCGTGGTTTATGCAGTTTCAGTGGGTGACCGCGGAGATTAGGTAACGTAGCGGGACTAAAAAGCCCTGACAAGTCCGGGCCAATCTTACCCGTCAAAATACGATAAGTGAGAATCAGGTCCCCTCTTATCCTTCGGTAGTGCATGGAGTACATCCCCAAACTGAGCAAGCGTTCAGGATACGTCTGTCCCCGTAGACCCTGCACTAACCGAGTGCCCACTCGTAACACCCTCTCCAAGTCCATTTTGTCTCGGTTAAGACATGGTGGACAAGCCTGAATACAATATTCCAGGTGGGGTCGGACGAATGCCGAAAATAGCTTCACAAACAACTTGGCCGTTAAGATTCCGAAAGAGCGGCGGATAAACCACATCATACGAAACCCTCGACAAGCAGCCTTCTTCCAGTTGTCTCCAGAATGAAGTGCTGATGCGTGTACGACTCCTAAATCAACCTGCTGAGTGACAACAGGGAGTTCACCACCGCCGACAACATATCGGGTGGGAGGGTTTGCAGCTCCGATTCGGAGAACAGAGCACTTCGCCCTATTTATGGGCAACAACCATAAGGCAGACCATTCCCAGAGCCTATCCAAGGCACTCTGAATTGCCTCAGGACCCCCGGGATATCCACAATATTCCAGAGCTTAAGGTCGTCAGGCAAGCATTAATGATGACACCCCTAGCTCTCCCGGCAAGTCATTTACATAGATCGCGAACAACAATGGCCCCAATACCGAGCCCTGCGGAACGCCACTAAGGACAGCTTGCCTGAGCGAAAGGCTACGCCCCACCCGTACGCACTGTTCCCTCCCCTCAAGGAAGGCAGACACCCATTGAAAGGCGCGACCAGATATCCCGTAAGACCTCACTTTAGTGAGAGCCGAAGATGTGGAATGGTGTCAAAAGCTTTCGAAAAATCTACGAATAGCACGCCTACAGAGTGACCACTGTCTACCACTTCGGCCCAGCTTTCACGATCTACAAGTAGGTTAGTCTGACATGAAAATCCTTTGCGGAATCCATGTTGTGCAACACTGAAAAGGTTGAATCTATTCAGTGGCTTCTCCACTGAATCCCTTATCAGCTTTCTCGAACAACTTGACTACTACGCTTGTCAAACTGACAGGCCGGTAGTTCGCGGGTAGAGCGCTGTCACCGCCCTTAAAAATCGGACAGATGATTGCCTCCTTCCATTCCGAAGGTAGGCTGCAGCTGTCCAGCGATATTGAAATACACACGTGAGCGGACCACTCAGCTCAGTGGCCAGTTCATGCAACAGATTCGGATGAATTGAATCAGGACCGGAAGCTTTAGAGTGCTTAATGCCTTGCAGTAGCTCGAAGACCTGAGTCTCCGTTATGCTAACTTCAGCTAAGCAAGAAGCCTCTGGAACTCTCGAAACCAATTCAACCTGTGGTAAAGAGGTCTCCCGAGCAAAGACCGCTGTATACTTAGCAATCAGTATACAAGCCTTGTCATAGTCAGTTTGTGCACGGGTCCCGTCTGCTCGCAATAAAGCTGGTATAGACAGTTTTGCCCAGCTGCGTCTTTTAACTTAAGCAAAAAACTACTTGGGATTAGCTGCGGCCGAGTCCGCTAAACCCTGCTCGTATTGGAGACGAGCAGTTCTGAGATGTTGCTTATATTTATTTCTATTCTCTCGATAACTATCATAGGTACTGGCTGATGGAGCTGCTTTGTGGGTTCGCCAGCACCTAGACCGTTTCTTGAGTAGGAACTTGCCTGTGGTATCTATCCATAGAGGCTGTGCCCTTAACCCTCTTTTCCTAATGAGTGGAATATAGGCAGCGGAAACCTCCGTAAGGTATGCCTTAAATTTTTCCCAGGCTAACTGAACAGAGTCAGCCATCGAGATCTTACAGTTCAGAACTGAAGCCTTAGTTCGCATTGCACTAAAGTCCGCCCGCCAATATTCGGAAGTAATTCAACAGCGGTCTCTTTGTACCTTGAAAGAGCACATCGAAAGGAAGTGCATGCGTGATCGCTAGACCCTAGAGGTGCACCGCATGAAACGTCAGTCACGAAGTCCAGGGACTTAGCGAAAACCAAATCCAAAGTAGATGGTATTTGGTTGTCCATATACCTAGTGGGAACGTCAACGAACTGGTGCAAAGGCACTTGGAGAGTTAGTTCAAGGAAGTCTGCACCGAATGTTCCTAATGCAGAATTGCAAGAAAGATCGGCCCAACAGACTTCCGGGAGGTTGAAATCCCCTAGAACTAAACACGTATTCGCAGACTGAGTGCGAATAAAGTCAAGTATCCCCCTGGAGGAGCTTCCAGGACTTCTGTATATCACTATAACTGTAAACTGGGTAGAGGAAGTGAACAAAGCAGTCGAGAGGGCTTCAACAGTCTTATCCGAGAACTGGAAAGTGCAAGTCCTCAACACATCTAAGTTACAGCTCACATACAGTAAAACGCCTCCGCCTTGGCGACCAACGGAGCGATCAGTTCTAAGCAGCACATAGCCAGGTAAAAATACCTCACCGTCCGTGATATCCGGAGACAACTACGTTTCAGTGAAAGCAAGTATGTCGGGACGAGATTTGTCTACAAGTAGACCCAACTCGTGCACCTTGTTCCTTAGGCTACGCACGTTAATGAGTACTACCTCAAGGAAGTCGGCATGACCATCCCTGGGTCGTGCGCCATCAAGATTGGTTCTGATAGGGTGGAAAGTAACTTCCGGTTGAGCACCTGAAAACCCACCAGACGGAGGCCTTGCTCACCAGCCGCCCGTCTAGTTTTGAGGTCTATGATAGCCTCCTTTAACTTCAACATATCTGCCAGTAGTAGGTCCGGCTAAACGCTGACACAACTACACTTAAGTTTAAATGCATATCGCAGCAACGATTTGCGTTCCTCCGGGGTAGAAAAGACCACGCGAAGTAGTCGGGGTCGTGGATTTGGCGTAGCGATAGGAACGTTCCCCAATCTGTTCAGCTTTCTGACAGTGACACCAGGGAAACCAGCTTGCTGACACACAGTTTCAGCCATTTGATGTCATCCAAGATGCGTTCCCTTGGGAGAACGGCCTCAGATTCAGTAACGTTACGGAATATAACGCTACTATCCGTGAAAGAGTCGGCACGACGGGGAGTGTTTACCCCACGTGTTTTGGAGTCGGCACCTATACCAGTTGTATTCACCACTGGCGGTGGGACTGTCCCTGGCTTCTCAAACGACGCCGAAGCAACGGTAGCGTAGGTTTTCCGCTCTATTGCCGGCGTCTTACTGGTTCTTGGGTCTTCAAGCCCCTTCGAAGTTTTACGAGCAGATCTTGTCCGCTTCTTCTTTTGGCTCAGTGGGGCAGGGGCCGTTGACTTTGCATCGCATTGAGCAGTTACCAGCATTCCGTCAGAACAGGCTGGTTCACTGGCGGCCGAAACAGTCAGCGTCTGTGGAAAGTTCTGTGTGCAATCGTCAAACGACTTTATGATTGTCAAAGACGGCATTTCTTTCGATGCCGTGGCAACTATTTTTTGGGTTTAGCAGAAGGCTTTTGGTGTTTCCGCACCCTATTTTTCTTCACTTTGATCGGATCATGAGGATCACCAGCAATGCTACTTGGATTGGCCGTTAGGATGTGCAACTTTACGACCGCGTGACAGACTCCAGTGAATGGATCGTCAGCAAGATTGCCGGTTATTGCTGTGTCTTCAAAAGAAATATTTAGGGATTTTAAAATCAAATCCATTTTCGTATCGAGCAAAGCAATAGAGGCGAGTTTAGCTATCGCCAACTCAACATCTGCCAACCTTGAAGCCAACGCTGAAAGTTTAGCACCGATGACAGCCGGGCGCGTCGACCTTTTAGCGCAGCATTCAGCGCAGCTGAAAAGAAAGTAGAGGCTTGATGATAGCATTTCGTACTGGTCAGCTTGTAGGCCGGTACAGCTTCCGTGATACCAGCGGCAGCAGACGTCACACTGCATACTACTAGATGCATCTGTTACTGGCTCTGAGCAGTTAGCCTGTCCGCAAGCTGAATTAAACTCATCAAACGAGGACCCCATGGGTCCATCCGTCTCGGTGTTTAGCGAGACAGCCATATTCATGTGGAAAACAGCTTAGAATTACAAGACGTATACAATAGGAAAACGACCGCAATAAAAAGGCAAAAACAGGGTGTAAAACGGGATTAAAACTGGGAACAACCGGCAAAGTACCAGTAAGCGCCAAAGACGCTTTGGCCAGTACCAATTTAATCGATCCAAGATATCTTGGATCAGAGAAAATTTGACAATAGTCAAATTTCGTTATGAGTGTTTCTTCAAACACTGTTTTTCACGTTATTTCCGCTGAAAAGCTCGATCAGTATGGCACGCCAAAAAATCGAGTTACAGCGTAGTACTCACAAAGCGGTTACTTTAGTTAGTTCACGAATAAATATTTATAATGTAACCTTACTACCAAAGTATAACACCCGCTACTGATTTTAATGTCAAGAGGATATTTCATACCATACATTACAACTCAGTAAACCTAGAAGAAGTGACCTTCAAAGCTGTTCATCGGATGAAGTTCCGCTGGTCTACCGATAGCGTATTATGGCGAGTTCCTCTCCTGGGGGATCAAACACTCGCGAAGAATCGGAAGAGGATGACTTTTATAGTTATGACGACACTGATTCCTACGTAGACTATGACAAGTATTTGAAATATTGTTGGTGTATACAGACAGGTCATTTTTAGACAAAGCGACAGTTGAGGGTTTCAAGTACAAAGAGCTCAGCGTAGATGAAGTGGAAGGTGTGCTTAATCAAGAAGTCGAAAAGTTGTGTAATGCTGTCCAGGTTAGTAGCAATTGTTTTTCAGTTTATAACTTGTTCGTGTCTGCACACCTATGGCACAATTAGCACCATTGTCCGACGAACATGGGTTAAGACGCTTGTCATAGAGTTCATGAAGTTTTGTATGGTGCAGAAAACCAGTGTCATCTGCATCACCCGTTCATTGGCTGCATGGCACGTGTTGTCGCTAAACTGTGTTCCCCGAGGGATTACGACAACTGCAGCAAAATAGCGGAATGCAGGCACGCTCAGCATGTATTTGTCCGACCGTACTTTAAATTTTCCTCTGGTCACTTACCACACATTCGGAGAGACTGTTCCACATTCACAACCCGTATGGACAACGCGACATCAAACCGGACATGGTTCCACCTGGGTTTAAAGTTTCAATCTGTGGCTCGGTGTCGAACAATGTTTTGAGCTGGAAGAACTGCTGCACTTCCTTCCCCAGCTCGCCCCCTGAAATGCGTCTAGTATAAATCGGGTCACCATGGCGACGGCGGTAGTCCAGTGTAAATAAGTTCATACGCTGGAAACGAAGGCGATAAGGTAAAACACGTAGCATGACACTGACTTGGTTCCGCGCCTCTGAACCATCTCAATCAACTCACATTCAACTCTGGTGCGTGGATGTATGGCAGGTAGTTCATATTGGACGAAGGTGCGAGGAAAGCAGGTGTCTGAATTTCTGTGGTGTCAATTCATAGAATGACCTTCTTATGGTACAGAGCATCCTGTTGGCAGGTGCTATTTTCCCCAACGTGTCCTGGGTTGTTCTTAGGTCTGGAGAAACGAGTACACCCAAGTCCTTCTTACCAACCTTCCTCAGCAGAAAACCACCAATGTGGTAGGCACCGAAAGGTTCTTGAGCACCGATCGAGAAAACACAGTACTTATCGCGATTGATAGGCATTTGCCACTTGACAGACCAATCGTGCAGCAGGTCTAACGTCAGTTGTAACTTGTCAGCATTTTCAGGCCTGGACACTTCTGACCACAGCTTAAGATCATCCGCATAGATCAATCCGTCGACTTGGAGCACCTTCAGGAGATCCTTGACAAAGATTTTGGATAGTTCGGGACCAATAACGAAGCTTTGTGGAACCCCACTGGTCATAAGAATAAGACCAGAGTAGACTTCTTAAACCTTCACCCTCATATTACGGTCCTATAGGAAATCAGCGATCCAGGCGATCAACTTACCAGCGATGCCAATCTGCCAAAGTTTGATAAGGACTCACTTGTGTGGAATGCTGTCAAACGTTTCGCTAAAATCCACAAAAAACTTCGTTGTGGCAGTGACTAGTATCCACTGACTTCGACCACTTTTCTCGGGCAAGAAAGCAGATTGGTACTGTGGGAGCATGCCCTCCGAAATCCGTGCTGAGCAGGAGAGGTGACGTCCAATTTCTCAAAGTGAAGATGCAAGGCCTGTCATTCCCTGAGCTATCATTTAGTTTAGGCGTTCTTTCGCCACACTGTCCACGCCGTCAGGGTGATCTGATTATCACATATCGCATATTGGCGGGTCAAATAGGCGCTGATTTGCCTCATTTTTCATATCAACTACAATGTCAAATCTGATAATAATGTGTCAACTGTACGCCGTAACGGCGCTTCGCTGCTCGCGACCACCACCAGTCGCGCGCGGGCTGAGTATACCTTGAGGACGCCTACCCATACGCGGATTCGAACCGGGTACATGGTTGCAAGTCAGGTGCGCAGACCACTCGGTCACCGGCCGACAATGCCAAATCTACATGGTCACCTAGGGAACCTTCACAAGTTTCTTTCAGATGGGGTTGGAACTGACACTCGGTTATCACGTAACGTAATGGACGATTGGAACGCTCTGCTTGAAGCAGTGCTATTGGCGCTTACTGTAAGGGTGTTTAAACCTCAACTTGATGCACTTGGTTTGCAACTACAAACCTTCCTCTTCAGTTCTTAACCTCATCAGATCTTTCTAGCCGACTTTATCCCTCTTTATTGCCATTGTCTAGTCTGTTTTCCAATACTTTTTATTCAGTTCTATTTCTCTTCAGCTATATTTTAGTTTTTCTCTTCCCTTATGTTTTATATTTTCTACTTCACTTGACCAGCACAGTGGGGAGTACTGGTACAGTACACGTAGGAATTGATCGGTTGTACTCGGTTAGTGTCCGATGGGCCTCTGATGGTTGACGGATGAGCACAATCTTGGGCCTTGAGTGGCAAAAGACTACGTCGCTTATCAGGCGCTAGCCGAAAAAATATTGGCAGGCTACCCCTCGACTACACAGTTATTTCCGGTAAGAAGAAGCCAGCCGCATTAACCACTTTACTTTACTTTACTGTCATGATAGCGAGAAAGATGTTGAACATCTATGTAGCTATATCTCAATGTAGGACATGGCCCACTGACACAGTGTTACCTGTAGTAGTGAGCTAGCCCAGGTGAAAAAAGTAAAATATTTACAAGCATAGAAAAAAACTCCATGGACTTACGATATATTCTTGGATGAACCACATGGAGTCCTTCACCAGCTCCGCCGCCTATTACGGATGGGCATCGTTTCGGAAGCCGCAGTTGGTGGATTAACGGGCTCCATGGGTTATAATCATTGAACGATTCCTTCGTCAGTTTCCTGTGAAGGCTTCGTCGAATCTGGCATCCGCAAAGTGCGCGTCCAGGAATCGTTTGAATTCCGACACCGAGTTCGCTTCTACTATCCGCGAGGGCAAACGGTTCCACATGTTCACCACTCGCCGCTCAAGACACAAGGGATGAGCTACCCACTTGAGGTCAGGGACTACCAGTTTGTACTGGTGACCTCGTGTGCTGCTTGACGCACGGACATGGAGCAGTGGCCTCAGCATCGGATAAGCACCCAGATGCAATACCCGATGGGTCATGATGAGGTCCACTCGCACGCGGCGGTAGGCTAGAGTATACAGACCCAATTGTCTGCATCTTTCTTCATACGGCACACCCTGAAGACCGGGAATGAGCCGTGTGGCTATGTGTTGTACTCTTTCGAGCTTGTGTATCTCGCCTTTCGTCAACGGACAGTAGGCGGGTGAGCCGTATTCTAGCACCGGTCGTACAATGGATGTGAAGAGACGAGTGGCAATCTCTTTCGACCAGGTGCAGAAGCTACGTTTCAGCGCCCACAGCGAACGCAATGCTGTGCGATACATATTGTCCGTGTTGTCCAGTGACTTCATGTCGTAACGTTGTATAACGCCAAGGTCTCTGACGCAATGCGTCGGGTGTAGAACTTGGCCGTCGAGAGTGTACGATCGGCCCGCTCCACCTTTACCGAGGCACAGAAGTAGCGATTTTGCCGAGTTGATAGGCAAACTTACTTCGGCGGACCACATGGAGAGGCGGTCGAGGTCCTGCTGAAGTATGTCAAAGTCGTCCGACGTATGGATCACCCTCCATAGCTTCAGGTCATCCGCGAACAAGGCACACGGCGACCGAAGGAGATTGGGCACGTCGTTGATGTGAATCAGGAAGAGAATGGGGCCAAGCACCGTCCCCTGAGGAACGCCGCTCGTCGACGGGTACCAGTCGGTCAGGTGGCTGTCGACTTGCACCCTCCACTTCCGTCCAACTAAGAAGTCACGGATCCATTGGTGCAGCGAGCCTCCGACTCCGCACTCCCTCAGTTTCCGAAGGAGGATCTCGTGATTCACTCTGTCGAAGGCCTTACTGAAATCGACGTATACCACGTCGACTGACTTACGTTGGTTTACTGCTTGCAACCATTCATGCCATGTTAGCAGCAGGTTAGTGATGCACGAGCGGCCTCTCACGAAACCATGCTGTGCAGGTGTCAGGAGAGAGTTGGTCTCCAGTAGCTGGAGCAGTCTCTTCTTCACAATCTTCTCCAGAACTTTCGACCATACTGCGGTCAAACAAATAGGGCGGTAATTCTCCACTTTGCGTGTGTCACCGCCTTTTGGAATCGGTTTGACAACGACGCATTTCCAGTCACAAGGCACGCAGCCTATGGACAGGGATCGGTTGAACAGGTCGGTTACAGCAGGTGAGATCACAGCTGAAAAGGACTTGAGGATCAGCGGATGGAGCCCATCCGGTCCAGCTGGCTTCGTGCTGTCTAGGCAGCTGACTAGCCCATGTACCTCCGCGACGTCGCAGATCAAGTCGGTTAGCTCAGTCGGTGCGGCGACGGCAGAGCTTGGCGCGCAGGTTTGGTTAGTTGCGAATACAGAAGCGAAGTGCGCCGCTAATGCGGACGCACGCTCGGTGCTTGAACTTAGTGGTTGTCCGTCCGAACCCACTAGCACCGGCACATCACCTGCAGACTTCAGGCGTCGCTTCACGTACGCAAATATGCGCTTCGGGGCAGTTTTAGCTGGGCAAGCAAGCTGCTCCTCAAACTGACGGCGTTTTCGCGTCTTTGTTCTGTTGCACAAGTTTCGTTGTCGCTTGTATGCCTCATAGTCATCGGCAGAGCCAGACAGGAGGAACGCATTCCATAGTCGACGCCGTTGTCGAGACAGTCGGTTATACTCTTTGTCAAACCAATGGGGTTTCATTGGTCCAACTTTCCGAGTCTTGAGGGGTACAAATTGCGCACACAATGAGTGCACTGCCCCTTTAATGTTTGTCCAGCAAGTTTCAACCGATGAATCCTGTGGCATAGACCAATCAAGCTGATTGGCAGCTAGAATGAGGCCATCGAAGTCAGCTTTCCAATAGTTGTATGTTGGCGCCACTGGACGCACACATGGAAGCTGCAGGTCTATAGTGGCCATAATTGTCGAGTGATCACTGGCCGCCATGGGCTCAAGAACTTCTATGTCATGCACTGTTTGTTCGCAGCTGGTTAGCAGCAGGTCCAGGCATGATGGCATTGAGCGCGGGGTTATGCGGGTGGGTTGCGTGATGTGCTGCACCGTTCCGGTTTCCAGTACCAGTTCGGCGAATCTTGTCTCCACTTCATTATGGCCAGGGAGAAGCTGAACTTCAGGCCATAAGATTCGAGGAAGGT